AATTGTTCACCTGCAAAAGTACAGCTGAATTACAAAAAAAATAACTGCCACTAATAGATTACGAGATGAGCTGTTTCACATGAGATACTAGTATTCTCAAAAACAGAACAGTGCTGCCCTCACTTATGAAGGTGTTGACAATTTCAACTCTTTCACATTTGAAGAGGGTGAATTATCAAACCTGTGTATGGAAACATTCCCACCAGCCTAAACTCAGCTCTACCAAACAAAACAATGAATGAATTATGAATTCCCCGAGGAATCCTTAACACCCCAATGGTCAATAGAATCCTTCCTTGCTGGAATTGTTGATTTTTTAAATTAAGAGACCATTGTGGAAGATGAAAACTATAATGATGAGTAAAAACAAGTTAGGAGTAGAATATGTGTGAGAACTAGTAGAATGGAATGAGGCAATACTGTCAGACATAAATGTAAAAATGCTGAAATTAAGAGTAAAATGATAATTTTGAGCAATTTTGCGTTATATGTTTTGTCTTGACCATTCTCAAATGAAGGTAAATCTGAAATCAAAAATGAAGTTTCCATGACAATGAAACATGGTTATCATGGCAACCAAGTAAATTGTAACCTCCAAAGTCTGACACAAGTCTAATTATCTTTTAAGTTCTGAAAAGCTGATATCTGTATCTGCTTGAATTCAAAAGTTATATCATTTATCAATTGTGGAGGTCTGAATTTCAATAAAACCCTAGTTACCATGGTAACCAACCAAATTTCAGCTCTCAAAGTCTGATTTAATACTTAAAATCAATTATTGTCTAAGATCTGAAAAAATGAGACATGTATCACCCTTATTTCAAAAGTTATAGCATCCATCCAATGAGGGGGTCAGAATTTCCCTAAAACCCTGGTTACCATGGCAACCAATCATATACCAGCTCCCAAATTATGATACAATACTTAAAACCAGCCATTTATGAAGATCTGAAAAAATGAGACCTGTATCTCCCTTATTTCAAAAGTTATAGCATCCATCCAATGTGGGGGTTCGAATCTGTGAAATAGGCCCCTGTATAAATCATGGACCCATATACGGCCAAAATCTGAAATTCTGTGGACTGATCTTTACATAAGATTGTTGCTAACATATTATAGACGTTTTCTATTTACACTTCAACCCTTCCTAACACACTGGTGACAAAATATGCACAAAATGACTCTATCATTCCTGAAAAATTGGCCTGAAAATTGACACCCGAAGGGTATGTTTTATCCATTTCCATGGCAACCACTTAACCATGTGACTTGAAATTTTTATCATATATTCAATTAGCCCATACCAATATACCATAGCAATTTGGATACATTCCACTGAGTATTTTTTGAGTTCTTGCCTAATTTTATAGTAGGGGTCCAAATTATAGCCCATGGGGGGTAAAATGGCCACAAAATCTAAAAGCTGAAAAACTAGGATCTAATAATTCATACAAATATGTGAAATCATACTAGCAACATGAAAAATTATGTCCCGTAAAATCCCTCTGAACGCACGCATTTAGGCTCATTCTGACTGCACTACTTCACATATTTCGGGTTTACTTTATAATGTACCCAAATGTAATAAAGACACAGAACATAACCGAGTTAATTCAATTTATACATATATTAATTTTATAGAAAATTTGATGTTGATGCAAATCAGTTTTTACATCATAAATTGCAATGCATTTTGGAAGTTCAATATACCACAATGCATTGTGAAGGTCCAAAACAGTGCAATGCATCGTGGAGGTCCAATGTACCGCAATGCATTGTGGAGGTCCAATGCATTGCCGCCCGTGCATACATAATTCTATTTCACATAAATAATTAAAGAAAATAATCTTTTACCTAAAAATTAGTGACTACATTTGTCCAGTGCACTGCACTATGCTGCGCAATGCAGCTAAAATAGAGTGCAATATTGTCACAATGCATGTATAATACAGTGCAAGGCTGGCACAAAAGCAAGCATAATATGCTGCAATGTTGACACAATGCATAATGCAGTGCAATGTGCATGTTGTACATACATAATAAAAACCTGCATTACGTGAACACATGGCCAAAGCTCATTTACCATACAGTACTATGGGAGTTTACTTTACATGGATTTTGATTTACATATAATAATTCTGAGTGTTCACTATCAAATTGGTTTTAATGTTTTATTTATATACTATTTGTACCTCAATTGGCTATTTCAATAAACAAAATTGTGTCAAGTATGAAAGATAACATGTATGAGATTAACATGTATGAGAGTGTATTTTCCATAGCAAATAGCTTTTATTATTTTAGAATATGAAAAATTCCAAAGGTGGATAAAAATCATATTTAATGTATTTCCACTTGGTATTTTTGGCACATTCATTGGATTCCTCTGGATTTTGAGGAAAATAATTTCAGCTTTTTGGAAATATCATATTTCTTCCAAAATAAAAAGAATATTCTACCACTCTCATGAAATAACCTATATCAATTGATATTTCATGTGTGAGATTATGTTCACATAAATGACAAATATGTATATATATTACTATACTTTACATGATTTGACTAGCACTGTAATGACATCTATAAATAAGTCATATGATTAATGTTTCAAGTTGCTTCCTTGTAAGTACACATATACAGTATCATTGTACATTAGCATGGTACATGTATACATTATCATATTTCATATATACAGTATCATTGTCACATATACAGTATCACAGATCATGTATATATTATTATGTACATGTATATAGTATCATGGTACATTTATACAGTATCATAGTCCTGTACACAGTATGTATATCCTGTACATGTATTGTTCACATATACAGTACACTGTCAATAATCATGTATATAATATCATAGTGCATGTACAGATTTACAGAATCATGGTACATGCAAATGTATGTATCGCAGGCCCATAGCCAGGATTTGCCAAGGGGGCTCACTTTTTGAAAAATTCCTGGGAGGTTCACTTTTGACAGTTTTGGTCCAAAAATGGTCCATAACACTTGAAAAATGCTCAGAATGGTGAAAAACTGCATGATTTTGAAAGAATTTTTGGCCAACAGGGCAGGGGGGGGTCAGACCCTCCGAACTTTGCCTGGCTACACGGACCTGTATCATAAAGAAGTTCAGTTCTAAGCCAAGGTGGGCAAAGAAGAACCCTTTAGTATGTCATATAAAATGTCCAAATTCACCAGATTATTCCCCCTCTGTCTTACTTTCAAAATGGGAATATTGGAATACTGTGCATCATTTATTTTAAACCCCCTATTGTATTGTATTGTATTGTACTGTTTTGTATTTTATTGAATTGTATTGTATTGTATATTGTATTGTATTGTATTTTGGTAACCACCATATTTTGGCAAGCAATACCTCATTGGTTTATTTCAATATCTTACATATTTTACACTCAGGCCAAATCACCCCCAGGGTTTTGGGCCTGGTCTTTTGTTTTGATGCACTGGTTTTAAACATGCAAAATCTAAGTAATTCTTCACAAAGTTTGTCCGGATATGTGCTGATCAGTAAAGTGAGTGAAGTGCCACCTATATTACCAATCTGACAATATATCATACTTCTAAGGTAGAAAAATTGCAAATTGATCGTTTCTCTTTTAAGGTGCTTTGTATTGTAAATGGATGTCAATATTCTGATTCATTTTGATTTTAATTAAATATATTGAACCATAGCTACAAATGAGACTTTTTAACCAGAAAAAGTACACATATAAAATATTTACATCTTTCTGGTTTAATATTTAAATATAAAAATAACTTGCTCTAACTTAAATTAATGAGGGGTCTAACCTGGTATGTCATTGTAGTTACAATAAAACATGTTATTACAAGTGAGACTTTAATATTGTTACAATAAAACATGTTATTACAAGTGAGACTTTAATATTGTTACAATAAAACATGTTATCACAAGTGAGACTTTAATATTGTTATAATAAAACATGTTATCACAAGTGAGACTTTAATATTGTTACAATAAAACATGTTATCACAAGTGAGACTTTAATATTGTTACAATAAAACATGTTATCACAAGTGAGACTTTAATATTGTTACAATAAAACATGTTATCACAAGTGAGACTTTAATATTGTTACAATAAAACATGTTATCACAAGTGAGACTTTAATATTGTTACAATAAAACATGTTATCACAAGTGAGACTTTAATATTGTTACAATAAAACATGTTATCACAAGTGAGACTTTAATATTGTTACAATGAAACATGTTATCACAAGTGAGACTTTAATATTGTTACAATGAAACATGTTATCACAAGTGAGACTTTAATATTGTTACAATAAAACATGTTATCACAAGTGAGACTTTAATATTGTTACAATAAAACATGTTATCACAAGTGAGACTTTAATATTGTTACAATGAAACATGTTATCACAAGTGAGACTTTAATATTGTTACAATAAAACATGTTATCACAACTGAGACGTCTATGTTGTCTGTGTCAGAAGCTCTTACACATTTAAACATACAGTAAAACCTGCCTCAGTGGAACATCTTTGGTACCTCTAAAGTGTTCCACTTGGGAGACATGTCGCTAAATAAGGTTCATTTAACATTAAATCACTTGTTCTTGGGTCCCTGAAAAGAGTTCCACTAACAGAGGTGTTCCACCTCTAGAGGTGTTCCACTGTATCAGTTTCGTACAGTAAGCTGCCTGATACAAGTATATATTCCACAACTCAGATCAATGATTATATATATACCTAGATTGTTGTCAAATTTATATCACATTCCTTTCCTCTGAGGCCTATGGATGCTTGATGTCATCTTATTGATGTCAACGTCATACCAGGTTCCAATATATGGATGTCATCTCAATGGCAGTGTCATAAATTTCCACTAGGGTGCGTCGTTAACATAAACATTTTGGACCTTCTGATCCAAATTGAATAAGATACCTTATTTTTTATAATACATGTATAAAAAAAGTAAACATCAGCTCCGCTAGTGTTCGTTGCCTTGGTGCTTTGTCTTTCTGTTGTCAGGACAATTGTTGTCTGTTGTCAGGACAATACAAACAGATAAGGACAACAATTAACTGGGGGGCAATCATTTCTGTCGTCTGATCACTGGGATTATGCCCACCCTGATTCATACACTGACTTGCTTGACTCCAATCGGGTGTAGGTTCTTTCATCACCATATTTGTCTGATCTCATCCTCTGTCAGGTGTTATGATGTCGTCATGACGATTCTGTGATTCCTCAAGAAGTCGTAAATCGGTACTCAAGGTTCACCTGAACATGTCTGATTATATGTCGCATAAACCTTGCCATCCTGGAAAACATGACATAACAAAATTAAACAAATGATATCACAATATTCCACCCATACTCCTATTATTAAGGAATAAATAGCGTGGTGATAGCTACCCTAAGATACACTATAAATTCCCGCTTGTTAAGTACGTAGAGCATCAGTAGGCATGGAATACATATTTATTAATTTAAATGCCATAATTGAAATTTAAGTTCTGTAAATTATATAAATACATACCAAACAAAAATAATTAACACATGGGTCTGTATAAGAAACTTCTACAAGGCTACCATGGTTTACTTTCTTCTGTTTTGGTAATGTGCAATGTTTATTATCAGTTGTTGCTTGGAGATGTTCTATATTGTTGTCATGGTGAGAACATTTAGGGCAACAGTCATTTGGATGCTTTTTATAGTATTCACAGTGGAGAACAGGACATTCTATAGACGTACAGCTAACCTCACCAGCCTGTAATTGAATGAATGAGTCTATTATATGTTTTTTTTCGCATATTCTGTTTACCTTGCATTCACGTTTTGACATTTTCTTTATTCTTTCACATATTCTGTTTACCATGCTTTCACATTTTGACATTTTCTTAGCAAACCAAACATTCACATTCACATTTTCTCAATGTAGCATGCATTTATATTTTAACATTTTAACATTATTACATTTTCTTTTACCAAGCATTCAATTTTCACATTTTCTCTACTTACCATGCATTCACATTCTCTCAACTTCCAAGGATTCACATTTTCTTAAATTACCAAACATTCACATTTTCTTAACTTATAAAACATTCACATTTTCTCTACTTACAATGCAATCTCACATTTTCTCAATTTACCAAGTACTGTACTCACATTTTTTCAACTTCCATGCATTCACATTTTATCAACTTACCAAACATTCACATTTTTCACATTTATGATGCCAAATATGGCCATGTTCATAGTCTTTTCCATGGTGACGACACTTTATTTTAGAGTCTTTGGGGGTACACTTGGGGCAGCAATGGAGATCAACATCACTACTTTCACAATCGCATTGCATCTTACTGCAACTTGTCTCTCCTTCCTAAAATAAAATTTTATTTTGATCAAAAATAAAAAATCCACTTTGTGATTTAAATGAAGTTGTTCACATGAAGATCACAGGGTTTTACATTCATAAAGTAATTGCATAGGGATCAGAAAAAAATATTCACATTTTTCTGTGAACATGTTTTAAATTTATTGCAGACTTACCCCCATCCTGTTTCATATATTGATTGAATTAAGCTCCCTTTTAAAGTAAAAATGGTTAGGTATATTCTGAACAATGAACATTTACCCCCCCCCACCCTTCCATATGGATGTTTATAAATACATTGACTTAAGGATTCCAGTCAATATTTCAATGTTGTTCCAAATTTTATGAGGGTTATTTAATGGGAGGTTTTGGATACAGGGTATATCCTGAGGGAAATACAATATATCTATCTTCGGTCCCTACAGTCCCTTGGGTAGATATATTGTATTTCCCTAAGGATATAACCTGTATCCAAAACTGGGCATTAAACAACTGATTTATCCTATACTTAGTAGATTATGATGATTAATTTTGCTTTGAATGTTATGGAACCCTAGGCCTAGTGTTATAATTACAAGCAAAACATGAATATTTTATCTCAATTTAAAATTCTTAACATTTATTGTTTTTTAAACTCTTTGCACTGGAACAAATTCCCAGGGATTGCTGAGCGGGAAATACAGCGGGAGATCCTCTCACCTCAGATATAAATTATATTCCTGCATGTCATTTACCATTCTGGTATGCCAGAGCCCCTCTTATCTGCCGTTTGCGAGAGAAGAAGAACTTTGGAAGGAAAAAGACAAAGGGGGCGCGGCTATCGCGATGGTCATTTACCTATAACGCTATTAAGTATAGGATAAAATTAATCAAACAAAATAAAATTATTCACGGTCACATGCAGGGTAATTAATTTTCAAAATGTGTATGGTTGTTGTTTATGTGGACAAATCATGTTGCCAAAAAGGAAAATTACACCTATTAGGATCCACCCTTTGCAAGCCTCTTTTTCAGTATCACCAATAAATCTCTAATTAGACATGACAAGATCATCTAAGTCAGTCGCTGCTCAGTTTTGATTTTCTGTGTGACCATTTGCTGTGATTTGAAATGAGTGAACATATTAGTGTGTTTTCATTATATCTAAACTGAATGAGTCACCAATAAGCATTAGAATACATTTTTTACCTACTGAGGAAATCATTAGATTTATCAAATGCTTTGAAGATATTATTTTTAGGTAAGAAAATCCAAAAGTGATCTTAAAAGAGATAAGTTCTATACTGTCAATACCACAAAACATCCCAAAAATGTGAAATTAATCTTTGAAATTGTTTACTATACCTGGAAATGTGCATACAAAGACTCAAACTACCTACATGGCAAACTGATCATAAAACAGCACCCCATACCTGGGTGGGGGATAAAAGTTATATCCAGTTTATAATTTATCTTAAATTAAACATTCTAGCACACTGTCAATCTTGCTATGCATTTATTGTCATTGCCATGAAATTTACCTTAAACATGCTACTGATAAAATTAATAGACATGATTTTTTTATTTTATTATCATTAAAAAAAATAAATGAAAAATACAGACATTATTTATTATTATGATTACAAAATACAAAAAAATACAGACATGATAATTACTAATGAAGCCATTATAGTGATTAATATCTGACGCCGATCCTTAATAATGTTGTAAATAACATATATGGATTTTTCAAAAATTAATCTTACATTTACTTCTTTTTATGACATATTGGATCAAGGCATGAACATGACAAAATGTCACCATTTGCAAAATGGTTACAAAAGTGTAACAGTTTGTCACAGATGCTTGGTCCATTTGAAGCAAGTTGTAAAAAGTTTTTTTGACCTTTTTTAAATTCAATATGTTGCTTATGGTGTTTGTGATCAAGTTTGATAACCTTGACCTTTGATCTTGATAAATTTACTTTTTAGACCTCAGTAGGTATTTCTTGATTAAACTTAAATTTGGATCAAACAATCAATTGGAACAGATTTCATTTGTGATATGATTTGATATTGGATCCATAATGTCATGATTTCATATGACATTGGATCCATAATGTCATGATTTTATATGACATTGGATCCATAATTTCATGATTTCATATGACATTGGATCCATAATGTCATGATTTCATATGACATTGGATCCATAATGTCATGATTTTATATGACATTGGATCCATAGTGTCATGATTTCATGATTTGATTTGACATTTGGAACACGCTGTCGGGATTTCGTGATTTGATTTGACCACATAGTGTCATAATGTTTTGGAAAAGAGGGTGGACTGACTTTTCCTTAGGGGAATGGCCACATTACATCATGAATAGAATGATTGACAAGCTGGATGCTATACAGTGCGTCCCAAAAAAACGCAACAAGCAAAAATCACAAAGGACACAAAACCAGTGATGATTAAATCAATTTCATTTAATTTACCCCGAAGCCACGTGTCTCCTCTTTCCAACGGTATGTCATTTGTTCATATCCGATAATGGACCACTGAATTATCATTGTTTTTCGTGCATGGGTGAAAAGGCCTTTGTGCCAAGTTGAAATATCCTCAGTCAACTGATCCTATTGTGCAATCAGGTAAATCATTCTGGTCACAAGAGTTACATAACACAAGTTTCAGATTTAGAATTTCTTAGAAGAAAGATTTAACTTTCATCAGTTCATCAGTTTCCTTGATGGTTCAGTTAACATATGGAAAAAGAAGCTAGTGGCATAAACATTTAAGTCAGTAAAGTCACAATCATTGCTAGTGTCTGTCATCTTATGAAATATTACTCATGAAAGATTATATTTCATGCCCCATCACATAGCCACAATTTCTCTACACACAGATATTGGCTCGTCTCTCCTTGTCATAAATACCTCTTTGAATCATCTGTGGGTTCTGGCGGTTCTTCAACTGTTGCAATGTCTAAAACTTGGTCCAGAGCAGATTTTGGCCTGTTGTGCAAAAGAAATAACCTCATTGGTGATTCTCTGTTAACTGTTGTAATGTCTAAAACTTAGTCCAGACCAGATTTTGGCCAATTATGCAAAAGTAATGATTATTCAGTGGTCTGTGGTCATATATGAATAAACGACATACCATTGCAAAAAGCGAGACACCTGGTTTCATGGTAAAATAAATGAAATTGATGTAATCATCACTGGTTTTGTGGTTCTACAATGTTTGTGCATGTTGCTTTTTTGGAATGCACTGTACATGAAATGTTGATGTGAAAAAGTTGGTCACTTATATAGCTCAGTGGTAGAGCACTTGTCCAGAAAATGAGGTATCATTGGTGCAATCTCCACTGGGGTGGACTGCCCTTTTCACATCAGCCCTTAGTGCAAGATTCAGAGTACTGTAATTTCATGATTCAATATGACATTGGCTAGATCAAAAATTATCTCTTACACGAGTCCAAGACTTTTGGATCACCCCTCGTACAGGGTGTGGAGATAAAACCCAGCTCTTACGAAGATTTAGTAAGATCTTACCTTACACTGGCATATTTTACAAGATTCACTGGGATGTTTCCAACAGGTTGCATTATAGTGAAGTAAGCCTCCATCTTGGTTGTTAAAGCAATCTGAAATGTATGAACATTAAAGGTGCAACAATTAGTGCAAGGGGACCATTAAACTATCATCGACCAGTGTCAAAATATATTTAAGTTTGGATATTTCATCAAGACTAACATATATTTTTATCATCTACAAAGAAACCCCCTGGATGAACATGATATTCATCTTGAAACATGGTGAATCTTAAAAATCTATAAGTGGGACTCCTTTTATAATAGAAGCTTTGAACTGAATTTACAGTTATAATGTTGAAATTGAGAGTTTATTCATACATTTTAAGAAAATAAGAAGATGTTAAGCCAAATATTGACCTGATAGCTAAGAAAAAATAATTCTAATTTTCTCTCTACAGTCCTTGTTGTCCCTTTAATAAATTGATAAATCATGTGGTATTTAAATGATCAAAATATCAACATCCCAAATATAACATAACATTTAATTTTATTATGCAACTGATTGAAATACTCAAATCTGATTGGTTAAGAGCTGCAGGGTATATTGCCATACGTGGCAGCAAGATCTCGTTCTATCCAGTATTGAAGCAACGAGATCTCCAACCATCCCGTATGCCAGAATACCTATCCTCGAAAAAAAACTTTTCTATGAGTCCATTTGTCGATGACGTCATTTTCTTAGAATCTCTTCCATGTTGAATTTGCAACGACTGCGAGGGAGAAATGATTTGCGTGATATGAGAGAATTTTTATTCAATTTCCTGTGATTAACTGACAAAAGGTAGGTGGCGCTAGATAAGGCATCTGCCAAACTTATTACATATGGAGGGAATACTTAGAATAAAGCCAAATGAGAGAATAAATGGAATTTTTGATTGTCGAACACCTACACCAGGGTTTTTAGAGTAGCCTATAGGCTGGGCTTCTGTTTTAGTAGACCCATTCTTTAAAATAAAGTATTTCTCAAGGGAGGTGCATAATTAAATAATCCTCGAAAAGAAATACTTGGCTCGGCTTCGCCTCACCTAGTATTTTTTCCAAGGATAGGTATTCTGGCATATCCACCTCATGGTCATCCAGTATTTGTTTATTATCTTTACTGAGCGTTACGTAATTAAAATATGAATAAACAACTCACTTGGATTACATAAATTAGTTTTGCATCTGCATTTGTATCTGCCACGTATATTGCGACATTGTCTATCACCACTGCAGGTGTGTTCGCCACTTTTGCATTGGTTTATAGCTAAAAAAGAACAAACATGTACAATAGAATGGTTTAGTGAAAAACCTTGAGATTCTGTTTTCATTAGTTCTAGACTGTTTGGACCAAAATCTATAGAGGTAAAGGAACTGCTAATATACAATACTTGACAAGTTCTACAATGCCTCGAAATTATAGATGTTATATGGATGATGAATAAACCACACTTTTTGATTTTTTTCACTTTTATTTCCACTTTCAAATCTTATTGAGGTTTCTAATATTTACATCACATGTGTTTTTCACAAGGTGGTTGATAATCCAAGGATTATCTTTACCTTAGAAGTACACATGCTAATTCAATAGTATATATTCAGAATAAACTAGCATGGGCTTCAAGCATTTAAGAATTTATTTATTTTCACATACTCATTTCTTCACAAATGCATATGTCTCAATTAGTGTCAGGAATACAATTTAAAATTTGCGGCAACATAAACTCATGACTGACACGAATACACTAGAATTCTAGATTTCTACACATTTAATGTATTTTATGATATTCATGAAATTAAATTGAACTACAGATTAATTTACATTCAACTTACCTTTACATTTATCACCAATTTCATGGTTCGTCAGATGTGTCTTCTCACTATGGTAACCATGACGACAACGACACACATATGACCCTGGGAGATTTTCACATTTTGATTTTTTCGAACAATGATGAAGTTTTAGCGAACACTCATCAACATCTGGAAAATAAAATAATTCAATTATTTAATTTTTAAACCAAAAATATCTCAAAATACTCTCTAGGAATCCAAAAATTCACCCCAAAATATCATAAGAAGACATAATCAATACTTCTGACAAAAATGTTGTTTCTTTCTCAATAATAACCTTCACCTCTATTACATGTTCAGATGAAAGAGAAACATGAATGATTTATGTATGTCATAGGGTGAACAGATCAAAGGTCTCCCACAGGTTGATAAATACATTATTAAATCTTTTTTATAAAGTATTCCCATTTTTGGACTGACCATAATTAGATGAATAATGTAAAAATACAGTGTAATAATTAGTCAGTGAGTAGTTATTGAGTCTTTCTTAGATTTTGTTTCTGCGTCCCTGGAAAAGAAAGTTGATTGCATAAATACTGAAATAAATTATAAGGGGTTAAAACCTTTTAAAGCAAATTAAATTAGTACATTTCATATTTTGAATGTTCTTCGGAAGGTCAACATTTAATTCAATTATTACTTTACTCAAGGCCATGTCACTTCAAGTCCTCCAGGGATCATAGTCATGGATACATATATTGCATGGTAATAAAGATAAACATTTTTATGTGTTTTATATGTGTTTGAAAATTGATTAGCTCCTAATTTTTGAATTATTACTTGACACAAGGCCACATCACTTCAGGTCCTCCAGGAGACATACAGTCATAGATTCATATATTGCATGGTAATGAAGATAAACATTTTTATGTGTTTTATATGTGTTTGAAAATTGATTAGATTTCCTAGGGTTAATTGAGATCTCCCCTTGCTATAAAGTGATTAAACATATATATACTGTATATATACATATATATATATAACTAATTCATTAACTAATGATGGAACAGTGAGTCTTCAGTTTGGTTTCAGAGAGTGTAGGGATAATTGTTAAATGAAAGACATAGAAATCTTCTAAAATAAATCAAACTCAATAAAGATATTCTGTTCTTTCTGGTTCACTAGAAGACACAGCCAAAGACACAACAGAAACATAGTCTATTTGAATTAATGCTCACTGACAACAAATGAAGGAATCTAACAATGGCATAGACTGATATATAACAGCATGGAAGAAGTAAAGTCTGATGATGAAAATGCATGTAGACATTTCGGTCGGAGATAATGCTAATGGAAATTCTCAAGACGGTTAATATGAATATCACAAACAGAACTATGTTGCAAAGTCTCTAATTGCAATAGAGGGAAGATGACCACAAAATTACAGAAAAACAGTGTATTGAACATTTTAATGAACATCTTTCTGTAGCTCAGTGGTAGAGCACTTGCCCAGATAGCGAGGGGTCGTGGGTTCGATCCCCACTGGGGTGGACTGACTTTTTCACATCAGCCCTTAGAACAGGATTTCATTCTGCGTTTTCATTAACTATTGAACGTTTTAATACAAATGATAACTTTGAACAGATGGAAGATGATGAACACCAAATTGCAGAAAAAATAGTGTATTGAACTAAATGTTATCTTGAACAGATGGAAAATGATGAACACCAAATTACAGATAAAACAGTGTATTGAAGTAAATGATATCTTTGAACACCAAATTGCAGATAAAACTATGTACTGAAGTTTCAATAGCAATAAAATAGGTGAAGAAGCAGATGAAATCATCCAAGCATGGGTAGATGCATCACAGATGAAACCACGTGGCAAACATTCTGATGGCAATGCAATAATTCTTGAAGCTATTATTCACATATAAATAACATATAGATGACGATGTGAATGAAATTGTTCCAAGAAGGATTCATGAATCAGGGATACCCCCATTTGGTGAGCTTATTGATGGCAAAGAAATCCTTGTACAGAATGATGAGATAAAAACCAAAATACAATTGAGATGAAGGAAATTAATCAACATGACAATAACATTCCCGATCCTTTATTTAAGCAGGACACTAAATGTATGGGTGATGGACATGTCAAACCAGGAAGCAGCATTGACAGTGATATTTTTGATGAGCCAGAGGATGGAAGTATTAACTTAAATGAGCTAAATGAACAAACAGATGGTGGCTCTCAGAATGGCAATCCCACTGACACAAAATCATTGAAAGTCCAAATAAGGTCTGCCTTGTTAGGTTTCTCTAATATTACTTCAATAAATGGACCAAAGAGAATACAAAAGGCAAAGGACAGATCTTCTAGAGTTGGATGGACATTTGTGTTCATTTTAGTAGTCAGTCTGGCAGTGTCTCTTATCACAGGAGTGGTACTTAAGTACTATACATACCCTGTAGAAGATGGTATATCAATCGCAACTCAACCATTGATCTTCCCTGCAGTTACAATATGTCCACTTATACCATATGATATTGATCAAATTTTATGGGATATAGGTCAAAATTACCTATACAGCTATATTCATTATTTTTATCTTAGAGGTGGACACACACCAGAATGTGAAGGAAAAATTGAATGCAAATGTGATGTTGAACAAGATGATAGTATACTTGAAAGGTGCTGGTTGGCATTGACATCATGGCTGCATAAAAAATTGAATCTAGCTTATAGATGGGAAGTTGAAAACATACCCTTAAATGGAGATATTGTGCCCAGCATGCAGCCTACTGAGGCAAAAGACTTCATCCTTGATTGTACGTACAATGAAAGACCATGCGATGAACAAATAAATATTAGTAGAGTACTAACTGCGTATGGACAATGTTACACATTAAACATTAAGAATTCAGCTGAACAAATTCAGGAAGTTGGTCCAAATAAAGGAATAACATTAATATTGTATACAGGAAAATACAATCCGATCAATCAGAAGTTTGATGGATTCTCCACAATGGGATTTAAATCTACATGCAGCCAACCAGATGATGGGGTAAAAGTTGTAGTGCACAACCCAGGGACAATGCCTCAACCTTTCAAAGAAGGTTTCCATGTCACACCTGGTAGGTTTTCTTCAATAAAGTTAACAAAAACAGAGCGTACACGACTACTGCCACCATATGGTGAATGCACTGATGAAATCTATTTAGATAACTCTGAATTTAAATATTCATATGAGGTATGTGTGGAGCAGTGTTTACAAGAGAGAATCATGCAAGAGTGTGGCTGCGTATCACCGATGTACATAATACCAAGAGACCACAACTTTAGCCAAATACAATATTGTGGAAACACATCCAAAGTAATGGACTGGTTAGCTGCGATGGATCTCCCAGAAATTGATTTTGCAAAGACTGTGAATAATGTTATTGAAAATCTAAAATGTGAAAAGAATTTGTCAAAAATCAGTCAAAAGCTGTGTCAATGCAAGAGACCATGTAAGGAAAACACCTACATACATCTCATCAATACAATCCTATGGCCAGAGAAGAGTGTTGTTAACACTGGGGGTCAAAGAGGATTTGTCAAATTTAAGAAAAAGCACAAGAATGTAAGTAAACTTATAAAACAATTACTCGGAGTATCTAATCCTATTTTCAATGATTCTATTGATGCATTAATTAGGGTTTACCTCACTCGCACTATAAACATGTCAAAACCTGAATACACTAGAGATTCACTAACTATGAATATAGTTGAGACAAATTTCATGAAAATAAACATTCATTTTGAATCTCTGGATGTGAGAACAGTATATGAGGAAAGAACATATACATATGCTGATGTAATGAAGGACATAGGTAATGTATTTGGGTTCTACCTGGGGATGTCAGCAGTTTCTGTTGTAGAAGGGGTGTATATCATTGGTGTGATGATCAAACTGATAATATACAGAATACTTTGTAAACACAATTGATAATCATCAAACAATATGTTATAAAATCAGACATTAAAAGGTCCTGTCATCACAATACAAGGTGATTTAAGTGATGAGCATAATTAAAGGTCATATGTAATGTGTTTGGTTGATAATTATGTCTGCAGTTTATATTATGTAGCAAAGGTATAGTTATGAAACATCTTGATCCATCCATGCATTACATGTAAATTAAGGAATATACTGGTTTAGCAGTATGTATGGCATGAAGAATTTACCATATGTAGATATAATAAAAGGGACAGTACATGTAATTTTAAATTCTTTTTCAGGGTAACTGAATAATATACTGCAAATACTGTAATATAGCTTTGATCAGGATCAAAGCCAGTCGTCTAAATGTTCTGAAAATGTATTTTCAAAACATTTGAACATTTTGTTATTGAATTTAAACTAGTGGAAAAATCTTTGAATCAATTCTTGACAATATTTTGCTTATCCAAGGAAAATTTAATACAAGTAGTAAGCAAGGCAACATATTATTTTGCAACTGCTTCCCATCAATTACCCTTCTGTTTCACTTCAATTTTGCCGAGTGCCAGTTTATGATTTTGGGAAAAGTTTGAATATGCCTTAATGATACTCTGATGATACTTTTATTGCTCTTGAGTGTGATTAAAGTACAATTTATGTAGTCATAACAATGCAATATCAGAATTGATCAGATGTATTCACATATATACCTGCTATTTGATGTAAGTGAAACACTGATATATAAGATCATAGAACGAAAAATGTTTGCAGATAGTTCAAAATGATAGTTCAGCCAGAGATAATGCTAATGGTAAGTTTCAAGACAGCCATTGTGCATGTATTATCTATGTGGGATGTTTTTGATGACAAGAAAATTATTGTGGAAGCTATCCCACATCAACAGATTGTACGAGGCGGGCTAAATTCATCACAGATAAAACCTTATGGCAAACATTCTGATGACAATAAAACAATCGAAGAAGCTATTTTTAACCAAAAGATAAAAGACAATGCGGATAAAATATTTTAAGGCAGTGAACATGCATCACAGATGATCCCATATAGTGAACTTATGATGGCAATGAATCATTGTACGAATGAGAGATGATAAACACAAAATTGTGATTGAGATGAAAATTAGAAATCAATATGACAATGACCCCTATGATCAATTGCGTAAAACACTAAACGTATTGGTGAT